GGTGTGGTCTGTGTTTGTGTGTGTGTGTGTGTGTGTGTGTGTGTGGTGTGTGTGTGTGTGTGTGTGTGTGTGGTGCGTGTGTGTTGTTGTGTGTGTATGTGTATAGTGTTATGTATGTGTGTATGTGTGTATGTGTGTGGTGTTGTGTATGTATGTGTGGTGTTGTTTTGTGTGTTTGTGTGTGGTGTGGTGTGTTTGTGTGTGTGTGTGCATTGTATGCACACAATAATATATACTATATATATATATATAATATAATTATATATATAGTATATATATATATATTATATTATATATTATATTTGTACACACACACACATCACACACACACACACCACACACACACATTTCATATATGTACTATACATTCACAGACTATCACTACTACTCACACATTATATTATATTATATGATATTATATATTATATATTAAGTATATAATATATATATTATATATATATAATATTATTATACTGTATAGTTAATATATAATAATATGTATGTGTTGTGGTAATAGTGTGTGTGTGCTTGTGTGTGTTGATTTATATGTGTATGTTGCGTTTATAGACATACATACACACATACATACACACACACACAATACACCACACTACACACATATTTATATAATAATATTATTAATGTTGTGTGGTTGTATGTGTGTAGTGTATATGGGTGGTGTTGTGAGTGTGTGTGTCGATATATATGGTAGTATTATGGTTATAAATTATATATTAATATTAATATAATATATATATATACAAGTAATATATACTATATATATATATATATATAAATGTATAATAAATAATACATGTGTGTGTGTTTGTGTGTGTGTGTATGTGTGTGCTGTGTGTGTGGTGTGTGTGTAGGTGTGTGTGTGTGTATGTAGTGTGTGTGTGTGTGTGTGTGTGTGTTTGTGTGTGTATGTGTTTGTGTGGTAAGTAAACGTGTAAGAAAAATAGTTTTTGCTGAAAGTGGCTACTTTTTCTATTATTCGTTCCACCATCCTTCCATTCTCTCAACCTCTCCTCACAACCCATTTTCAGAGCTACACGAGACTTCATAGGCCTAATAAACCCCAAAGCTGCTGCAGAACCTCAACACTGACGAGACCAATTACCTATATACACCTTTGTGTGTGTTGCGTGTCCGGGTGTGTTGTGTGTGTGTGTGTTGTGTGTGTTGTGTGTGTGTGTGTGTGTGTGTGTGTGTGTGTGTGTGTGTGTGTGTGTGTGTGTGTGTATCTATAAATGCAGTAACTACGCTCATCCTAATAAGTAAAATTGATTTTAGAATAAATGTTCCTGTTCTCTATATTAACGATTAACCTCAATAGTGCTAGCATTTCACGAATTTTATTTACATGAGATTACTCATAGGGTTAATACCTAATTTTACATTTCTCTTCTTAGCTCTATCAATATGCTTGTGAACCAGACATTTCTCAAACAGGTTGATTAAAGAGTTGACTATATTTGACGTGCAAGATCAATCATCATTAGGCAGAAAGTGGTGGATGTTAAGTTTAAAATTCTTGGCTCCCAGTTTTTCGTAAACTATAGAGTAATTTGAACAAAAAAAGCAAATTTTTGGAAGTAGAAACTATCATTCATCCAACAGCATGCCATGTTAAGTAGATTAATCATTGTCTAGTAATACTGTTTAAACTATGCCATATGCTCTTTTCGAACAATTGAAACCCATGCGCAGGGAAATACACACACACACACACACATACACATCACACACACGTACACACACACAGCCAAGACACACACACACATTAGCACACACCTAGCTACATACACACCTGACATCATCACATTCCAACTCTCACACACACACATACACACACTACACATCAACACACCTCTCAACACTCCACCATCACACAGCACACAGCTCACACACATTTCTCCCACCTCACTCACGACTCCACAGCAGTTTCTTTCCTTTTTTATTTCTTTTTGGTTTTCTCTTTTCACACATACACACCCATCCTCACCCACACATCACACATCCACTCATGACAGCACCTCAATCTCATCTAGGCTGCAGCCACTACCCTTTTACCTCCTTATTTTTCTCTCTCTTTTTTCCCCTCCCCACTCCCCTTACCCACACTACATCCACCCTCCTTCCCTTTCCCTCCTCACACCCACAGACTATCCTTTCCACCAATTCTCATCTCCTGCTACATACTCTCCCCCTACCCCTCCATCCCTCTTCTATCTCTCCACACACATCACATCCAAATCTCTATAATTCTGTGTTGTGTGTGTGTGTGTGTGTGTGTGTGTGGTGTGTGTGTGTGGTGATAGTGGTGTGTGTGTGTGTGGATTTGATGTTGTTGTGTTCATCTATTGTTACATGTATATAATACACACACTCACACACGACACATGGACTATATATATATATATATATTATATATCACTGATATATTATATATGTTATTCATATATATACTCTGGTATTACACTTTCACTATATTACTCATATATGATTAGTTATATATATATCTAATATATATCATATCCTGTGTGTGTTCGTGTGTATGTTTGTGGTGTTCTGTGTGTGTGTGTTTGTTTGTGCGTGTGTGTATTTA